CAAAGCCCGCACCCCCAGCCCAGAGCCCATACCCCCTCCTACATCCCAACCCCAGCCCTGAGCCTCTCCTGCACTCTGAACCCCTTGGCCCCAGCCGGAGCCCTCTCCCGCACCCCCAAACCCCTCATTCCCAGCCCCATCCCAGAGCCCACAACCCCAACTGGAGCCCTCACTCCCCCTCCCGCACCTCAATCCTCTGCCCCAGGCTGGAGTCCCCTCCCACATCCCAAACCTCTCATCCCGGAGGGAGGGGGGATGGAGTGAGTGGGGGGCGAGGCCTCAGAGAAGGGGCAGATCAGGGCCGGGGCCTCCGGAAAGGGGTGGGGAAGGGAGCAGGGCAAGGGTGTTCAGTTTTCTGTAATCAGAAAGTTGGCAACCCTGCTATCCAATCCAATCCACCCCTCCTCAAACTGGGCCTCTCCCCCATACACTCTGGCCACCCCAGAGAGGGGCACTGTGTATCTTAACTATTTATTCTCTGGATTTCAGATGCTTAAAATTTGTGTTACTTCAGTCCTCCCACTTCAGATCCCAGAACACACAGCGGGCAGGGAGAGTGGCTCAGATCCCTGCAAAGGGGTAGGGTTCTCCCCCCAGATCCCAGCTCTCACACACAAGGGGTGAATTCAGGGCTAACAGGCCCCACCACCCCTTAACCCTCAAATTTCTCTGCTATCCCTCATATTCCAACCCTGCCTATCCTCTTCCCTCCACTTCTTCTAAGCCCTACCCTCTTCCCCCTGCCTGAGCCTCCCAAACTCCTCTTCCATCCCCTACCAACCATTCCCATTTATCCCCCTCCCCATAATACTCCTTTCTATTGCTGCAGACCCAAAGTCCTCTTCCCCAATACCACCTACTCTTGCATCCCTAATACCTCTCCTTTCCTAGTGTAATTTATTTCCTTTTCAAAAACAATGAGGAGTCCGGTGGCACCTTAAAGACTAACAGATTTATTTGGGCATAAGCTTTCGTGGATAAAAAACCGCACTGAACTCCTCCTTGTTTTTGTGGCTACAGACTTACACAGCTACCCCTCTGATACTTTTCAAAAACAGTTTCAGCACTTTGTGAATATTCTGCTGTACTCTGATTACATTTCACAAACACACCCCACACACACCCCTGGACAGAACCAGATTTTTCCCACATGTTTACAGTTCATTTTTAGATTTTTGCCCAGGGTGGATTTCAGACATCAAAGTTGCAAGCTCAGAGAAGTGTTAAGTGGCCCATTCATTCCAATGAAATGTTCTCTGCTGAAAGAGAACACCCCATGGAGATGAATACATCCTGAAACAATAGCTCCAAGACCTGTGAACTGCTCCATTCATGCCAGTGGGTGTTCTCTCCCCATCCCCAGTGTTGAAGAGTTTCTTACATGTCAATCCTATCTGTTCTCAGCTTCTCACCCAGTCTCAGCAGAGTGTTCTCTGTGCCTGCTTTCACCATGTCTGTCCCAAGCTTCCCACCTAAAGGGGAAAGGCTTCCCCAGAAGTGGTGCTCAGGAACTCCCAGAAAGGCCAGATCCCTCCAGTATCTGGCTCACATGGGGCCAGGACCCTCAGATACTGGCGCACACATGGCGACAGCACAGGAGGCATTCAATAAATCAGATATGTTTGTTCCTCCTCTCTATGATTTTGACATACTTTTGACACCTAGTTTTTGAAACCAGAAATGTTGTTCTTTACCAACAGCTATTATAAAAAAGAGAAATTATCCAATACCAAAAGCAAATAACTACTTGTAAAAGAAATGCCACAACTGTGACAATATCCACAGTAGAGGTTAACCTCTAACCTAAGGCATGATGGTTAGGGATTAGATTAGCTATTACAATTGTTCTGAAAGATTATTGGCTTGGTAGGAGAAGCTGGTAACATCATACTACTGGAATCTGATTCTCATCTTAATTTATATGTGTTTTGCACCAGAGTAAATGACTTCAAGAGAGTTACTCCTGATTTATACCAGTGTAAGAGGAGAATCAGACCATGTGAGTCTAGAAAACAAACACTCAATTTACATAATGAAAGCTTCCATTTGCAAATGAAATCTGAGGAAAATTAAAAGAAGCTGTTCACTGTATCCAACCATTTATTTTCCTGGAACATGGTGAAGAGCAGAAAGACTCACAAGAACACAAAGCCACATCAATTATCAATCTCATTGCTGTATTACAACAGGCAATTTATATTATTTAGTATAACATATATAAACGTATTGCCTCATCTGTATCATGGAAAACCAAGTTTCTGAAAATTATTGACCAAATAACAAAGTATCCCCTTCCTTAGTTATTAAAGTCTGATTGCCCAGTCCTTACCCACAACCCAACCAGCTCAGCACCTTCCCTTTGCAGGGGAAAAAGTGCCACAGAGATGGCTGCCAACACTTCCTCATCAGATGGGTACACCCAACAAATATGGGTCCTTTCTACATGTGGATCCCAAGGAGACACTCAAGCCATCTCCCCTCGACCCCTCAGAAAAAGGAGAAGAGAAACTAGAGTTGTTTTCTATGGAAAGACAGGAGACTTGGGGCTGGTCTACACTGGGCGGGGGGAATCGATCCAAGATACGCACCTTCAGCTACACGAATAGCGTAGTTGAGTCGAAGTATCTTGGATCGAATTACCTGGGGTCCAGACGGCGCGGGATCGATGGCTGCGGCTCCCCCGTCGACTGCGCTACTGCCGCTCGCTCTGGTGGAGTTCCGGAGTCGACGGTGAGTGCGTTCGGGGATCGATATATCGTGTCTTAACGAGACGCGATATATCGATCCCGGATAAATCGATTGCTACCCGCCGATACGGCGGGTAGTGAAGACGTACCCTAACTTTCTGCCTCTGGACAATAAATGTTCTCATTTTGAAAGTTTCAACGGCCTGATCCAAAGTTCCCTTAAGTGAATGGAAAGAGTCCCATTAACTTCAATAGGCTTTGGATCAGGCAGTAAGAGGGGAACCCAGGGAAGCCTCGATCTCTTAAGGGAACAAATGTTTCAAGGCTATTTGAGCTAGTGTCAGATACTATGAAAAAGAACAAGGGGTTTTGAGAAAGAGATAAGAAACTGCTAAGCATGAGCATAAATTATATTCAATTTCTCCTGAGTAGTTAACATACGGGTATAAATTGATTTAAACACTGCATTGTGAGAGTTTGGGGCCGATATCATTTGAAGACTTCACAAAATGCTCCAAGATCAGCAGTATACCTTTGAACTGATAATTAAAAATAAAGCCAACAAAAACTCAGACCAGGCCAAGATGCAATATTACAGTATGCCTGAGATTTGGAGCAAGAAATCATCATTTGCAAACTTCCCTGGAGCTACTGGAGGTGAATCTGGCCCAGAATGTACGTTTATTTTATTATGAATAAAACCCATACTATTGAACAGACTAACAGGCAAACAACCACAGAATATCCTGCCACTTGACAAAACTTACTAATCAAATCAGTGGTTCTCAATCTATTTATCATTGTGGGCAGCATATGCAGCTCACATTGTGTTATGTGGGTTGCAGCCACACTATATACTACTGTATGGCCTAAGGATGTCACGTGGGCTGCAGCTGTGTGCTGATTGGGCCACAAGTGGCCCATGGGCTGTGGGTTGAGAACCACTGAACCAAATGAAGTATTCGGTCTTCCCAGACTCTGCCACCTGCTTGCAACAATTTTTGTTGTTACATGATTGCAAACAGTACCTTACCTGTGTTGACTGGTTGTTTTTGTGTAACTTTGTACCAGGTGCTAGGATCTCAATTCTAAACCAGATGCCTTGTTGTGCCATTCAGGAGGTGCAATGAGCTGGATTCTGGCCATACCTGGCCAGCAGAGAGTCCCATTGGTTGGGGGGGGGGGGTAAGGGGAGAGTCAGCTGGTGTACAGCTGGCAGAGCTGGCTCCTGCATCAGATGTTCCAACTGATCCCATTATAGGAGCCATGGCAGGGACAGGGAAGGTTGAAGAGAGGGAGCAGAACTCCGTTTGGATGCTCTAACTCATGCCAGCTACGAATCAGGAAGCTGTAACTGGTTCTCTGATACTCATCCCCCTTCTGTACTGAGCATAGCCCAGACACAGGAGAGCTTCAAGCCCCATGTGTCTTGGAATTTTCTTTTTTCACCTGTAGCTCCCTAAAATAAAGTTAAAAATAAAACAAAAGTAACTACCTCCTGCTGTGCCTCCCCCATGATTATTTACCAACTTCCAGCATCTGTCCTTTTGTTGTGCTTAAAAATGAGCCTGACCCAAACTCCAGACCTGCACACTTCTGAACTTTTGGAAAATTCATATTTCAGATGGGATTTTTGCAGCCCATCTCTAGTCACTTTTCATAAAAATTAAATTCCTGTTTTAACAGATAAAATCTTAACCCTTAATCCAGAATGAATCACTTTTCTTGCAGAGCAGAACGGACGTAAAGAGACCCTGTCAAGGATGAGAGCAGAAATCTTGTCAGCTTCAGTACTTTAGCTGCTCACAATATTAGAGCAAGCAAGGAGAGAGAGGCTAAAGCTGTATCCATCCACGCACTGCAGCAAACCTAGTGGTCTGAGGTTGGTGATGGTGGGTTACTCAAGACAGTAAGAGCCAGATTTTTAACAGTGCTCCCTGTTTGTGCACCAATATCATGTTTTGTCAACAGAAATGTGAATAGCATTATATAGCATCGTGTACAAGTTAATTCATTTTCTAGAGAACATAACCACCACATTATTGGAGAATGACAATAAAACTCTAGATATCATGATGAAAAGGAAACACTTTAGCACAGGATCTTTGGTGTGTCACTCAGCTACTTATTAACATAGAGACAAGAAAAATAAAAGAGCCCTTTTCATTTCAGCTACAATGCCTTTAAAATTCTGTCCAAAACTTCATAAAATAAAACAAGGGCTTTATATATATGCTGTCCTGTGGACCTTTAGACATTTGATAGTCTATATAGTTTTAAGAAATGCATAACACGTTAGGTTTTAGTCCCTACCTGGTAAAAATAATTCTTCTTGCATTTCTGCTCTGGCTTGTTCAGAAAAGCACCTTTTCTTCAGCCATTCAGCCTCAAATTCACTGGTGTGTTTGTCTGGCCATGTAATATACACCTTATATCATAAAATTAAAAAAAGATAATTAACAATGAGAGATTCAATGAAATCTGCCCGCCTGAAACAACTACCCAAGGGACCAGCAAAATTCAATCTCCTTACTAGAAATGTAATTGAAATATATTACTTGCTACTTTGCAATTAAATGTCTCTTGTGGGCAACCTCTCCTTATTAATATAACTGCAAACACTTTCAAAAGTCCATTTAAGCATACATTCCCTCCTTTTACAAGAGGTCAGTTTCACAATGAAGAAGTGACAGGACTTGCTGTCTGGTGCTGGATGCTTTCATTCTTTATCCCTGCTGCACTTAGTGGTATGTTCTGTATGGTCCCAGTAAGGGAAAGCGGGACATGAATAGATCATGGAGGGCAGCACTTCATTGCAGGGAGTGACAAGGAGGAAAAGGGTGGAGGAAGTGACAATGGTTTGGGAGTGAAGGGGATGACCACTTGGAAGGACTGAAGGAGAAAGACAAGAAAGGAGTGGAAAGGAAAAGCTTTAAAATCTATTTCTGTTAGTTATGAATTAGTGTCCCCCTGTGCTAGGTGCTGTACAGAGGTAGACACAAGCTCTTCTCTAAAGAGTTTACAATTAGGCGTTTACCTTGCATTCAGACAATTCAGAGAGACAATATATGCTAATGGACAGAGTATGGGACTGGAAGCCAGGAACTCCTGAGTATTAATCCTGGCTCTGCCACCAACTCACTGTGTGGTCTTGAGCAAATCACATCAACTCTGCATCGGAGCTTCCCATCAACTGCAAAATGGGGATAACAATCCTTACTTCCCTCCAACGTTTGTAAAGCATGTTGAAGATACCAGTGCTAAGGAGTATTATTAATGATAAACTAAATAAAGGGAATGGAGTTTGCATATCTGTTTTATAACCTTTACAATTAGCCAGGCAAGAGGATAAAGGGTCAAGTCCTGCCCTTAGTTACACCCATGCAACCTCGTTGATTTCACTGGGATTCCACAGTGGAGACTGAGGGCAGATCTGATCCAAAGGAGGGTTCTCTCCCCAAATTTTACATTATACCAGGGGTAGGCAACCTGCAGCACGCAGGTTTCAGTGGCACTCACACTGCCCGGGTCCTGACCACCGGTCCGGGGGGGCTCTGCATTTTAATTTAATTTTAAACGAAGCTACTTAAACATTTTAAAATCCGTATTTACTTTACATACAACAATAGTTAGTTATATATTAAAGACTTATAGAAAGAGACCTTCTAAAAACGTTAAAATGTATTACTGGCATGCGAAACCTTAAATTAGAGGGAATAAATGAAGACTCGGCACACCACTTCTGAAAGGTTGCCGACCCCTGCTTTATACATTTGTAAATGTCAGGTCAAATAAATTTTTAAAATACTCTTTTAAAAAATGAATTAGAAACTATTTATTAGATCAAGTAAATAATTTCATAGAATATCAGGGTTGGAAGGGACCTCAGGAGGTCATCTAGTCCAACCCCCTGCTCAAAGCAGGACCAATCCCTAACTAAATCATCCCAGCCAGGGCTTCGTTAAGCCTGACCTTAAAAATCTTTAAGGAAGGAGATTCCACCACCTGGCCTTTCCCTGCCCTGGCCTTTAAGGACTCCATGCTTTACTGTGACAACACAAGCAGAAGTCTCCTGCAGGAAGAAAGACAGTGTACCAGCTACGAGACAGACACTTTCTTTGTGGGGAAATCACACTATCCTTCCTCCATAAAGTAGCCACGGTGGAAAAGGGGGGCTCTAGGGTATGGAGATAGACACACAGGGGGAGAGAAGTTTGAGGGAGTGAAAGACTGAGGTATTAAGAGTCTGCAATTTTATCTTCACACCAGCTCCTAGAGATTAAGAAGTGAAGGCTACGGTAAAAATGTTTTATCTATCTAAAGTTAATTAAGAAAAAAAAAGAACATTTTGGGGGTTCCTATACTTAATTTTACTGTAAGAATGATATAAAATGAAAGGATTTGGATTTCTCAAGTGACAGTTATGACTAGAAATCCTGCATATACACAATATGATCCATGATTACAGCATATCCTGATATTCAAGCTGCAGTACTATTCTCTCTATTCGGGTTGCTAATTAACATATTAGCAAGAGCTACACAAATGTCACATGAAAGCAAAATTTCTTTTAAAAAATACCTTTTGTCTATCTGTCAAAATGACCTCCTTCACTCCAATGTTAACATCCAGGTCTTCCAAAAGCAGTTTGCGTGCTTTAGCAGAATGCAGGAAGCAGTCAGGGCACTGGCAGTTGTCTCTTAGCCATACAGCAGGGTAAAGGCTCTTACTCCCATCTTCCCAGTGAATACGGACAAAATTATTCACATCCAAAGCTTCCACTTTCTGGATACTTGTACTCACGTTGAAAGGCTGAACTGCTCCAGCTATATGCTGCCAACAATTCCTAGAGGAAGGCGGTCTTGTAAGAATACTCCTGCCCTTTTGCACTAGCAGTAGAGTGCGTGAATAGTCTTGGTGGACTTTAGTCCTTAATAGGATTTTAGCCACAGCATTCCACATTTTGACGACTGTTACAAAAACTTCAGAGCAAGAATAGCTTTTTACCAGTGCAAGTTCCTCCGAGTACTATAAATAAGAACAAAATTAATTATAGAAAGAATAGAGATAAAAAGATAATGTACAAAAAAAATGCTAATTTCCCCTTCTCTTTCTTCCTTTCCCCTGAACTCCTGGTAATACATGTTATCCGTAGTTTAGAAGTTTTGCCCAAAGACAAATGTATATTTAAACCTAAATTTTCTACTGTGACTAGTGAATTTGGGTGGTGCCTCAACTTCTCCTCAACTTGATATACCTTATAGGGGCCTGATTTTCAGTGAGCTGAAAACTTTCTGAAAATCAGGCTCTCAAATTGGGCACCCAAAACTTGAGATACTCAAAAATCACTAGTTGCTTGAGAAAATGTAGGCTTTAATGTACGGTATCCTATCTCAACTCATATAGTTAATGATGGTATCAGTTAGAAGATTGAACTATCCCCCTGCAAGGGAAGGATATAGTCTGTGGACAGAGGATGCATCAGATATTAAACTAAGAACAGAACTTGTGACTGAATATTTACCTTATTCATAAAAATGGTTGCTCCTCTCCCTGGATTAATAAATGAATCCCAGGTCTTTTTTAATAGAACTTCGCACCACTTCAAAGCTTTTGTGTTTGTTTCTGGTTTGTCCATTTTTTTGTGTGTGTGTTTTTTTTTATGCCAGCGGGCAAATCTTGATATCCTCGCTCAGAATCCTGGCCCCATTAAAGTTAATGGCAAACTGGCATTGATTTCAATGGGGCTAAGGCTTCACCCTCAGTCTTTACGCAGGAGACGTTCCCATGGGTTCAATAGGTGTTCTGCCTGAGTTTTACATGTTTCCCCACTGGTTATGAGTGAGAACTGTGTGGTATGGGATCCTCACACTTCTTCTAGTTTTATTTAGTTTAACTGAATGAAAAAATAAAAGTAAAATAATTCTACTTTTTTCCTCCTCTGGGGATATTAATCCAAAGATCCCAATGATGCATTTATTGTCTATCAACCTTGCTCCATTTCTAGTAACAGTACATACAAGCAATGCACAATTACAGCTATGAGTTGTTAAGCTACACACACAGGTGACCAGATGTCTCGATTTTATAGGGACAGTTCCGATTTTTGGGTCTTTTTCTTATATAGGCTCCTATTACCCCCCACCCCGTCCCGATTTTTCACATTTGCTGTCTGGGCACCCTAAACACCATCCACGTATTTAATTTTTAACCTACTCACCCACCAAATCACTTTCATCACCAAAGTTTTAAAGTGTTTTGGAAGATGAGTAGGACTTTTTAGCTGGCCTCACAACATCCTTCCTCCAAACACAACTGTGAGCACCAGGAGAAGCAGATGGGGTTAGCTGCTTCCCCATTCAGACAACCTAAGAGAGACTTGAATCCAACTTCCTTTCAGGGCAAACAGCCTAAATCCCTTTACTTTCTGCCAGCTGGTCTTGTTCCTGCCTTTCCCAGCTTAATCTCCCCATAGCTTCTGTAGGCAGAATATCTTGCAGGCAATTCAGCTCCACATTTGCCTCTAGTGCAGGGGTAGGCAACTTATGGCATGCGTGCCAAAGGCGACATGCAAGCTGATTTTCAGTGGCACTCACACTGCCCGGGTCCTGGCCAGCGGTTTGGGGGGCTCTGCATTTTAATTTAAATTTAAATGAAGCTTCTTAAACATTTTAAAAACCTTATTTACTTTACATACAATAATAGTTTAGTTATATATTACAGACTTGTAGAAAGAGACCTTCTAAAAATGTTAAAATGTATTACTGGCACGCGAAACCTTAAATTAGAGTGAATAAATGAAAACTCGGCACACCATGTCTGAACGGTTGCTGACTCCTGCTCTAGTGCTTCAGAGAGCAGCATGATCAGAATTTGGCTCTCAAAAAGCCTTCAGTCTCTGTTCCACTCATGAGCAAGCTTCTTGCCCTTACACTTTAGTTATTAGGTGCAGAAGTTATAATTGTGTGAATAATGTATAGAAATAAACACTGTCCTTTTAGAAAAGAGGACTATAAATGTGGTACATTAATAAGGAAACAATTGTCCTGTATTTTCATCTTTAAGGTTTATAGATATATTAAAAATATTTATTTGAGGCTTATCAGACTCGAGTCAAGACTTCTGCTTTGCATATTTTTATGATCCACTGTATGGAAACACAAGTGTGTATGCTGAAACGATGTGAGTTTCACAACTGACTAATTGACCACAGGGAAAATTACAGCAGGAATTTGTCCAGCAAGAGCCTATGACCAGCTTCATGTTCTCCTTTGATGTGTATTGCTTAACTGGTGTCTGTTTGCAGTGATGGATAATGGAGTCATTCAAAATGCATGGCAAGCAAAATCTGTTCTAAAATAGATGGCCGTAAACCTCTCAAGTGGTTTGGAAAGCAAGGTCAACATGCAAAATAAGAGAAGCCACCAACCATGTCATGAATGGGCTCTGGAAAAAGGGATAATAAAGACTCTGGAAACTATCCATTGGCGTAATTTATGTTGGAAAGAGGACATCTGCAACTCAAACACAAATTTAAAAATATAATTTTCATTGGATTTGAGAAGCACTCTCTTGGGTGCGAGTTCAGATAGACAGCTGTAGTAGTGGTTGTTTTTTTTTTTTCCTTTCATGCTAAGGGAATTTGTTTTTTAAAAATAGCTGATACTTTTGTTCACACAGAAATGTTGCTATATCAGATCCATAGTACTACACTCTTCCCTACATAACCTATTGCTTGGAAAATCTTGAAGGGGAAGTAGCTATGAGCTCCATTACAAGTGGGAAAGATTGCACTACTGGAGGTTTTGCATTTGTTCTATGCACAGAGGACTTTGGTTTCTAGTACCATCAATCTGACCCTTTCTCAAACACTAAATATTAATTTAAAAATATGTTTAGTCTTCATATCCATAATCTAGACACTTTCAGAAAGTGATACACAGGTCTTTCCCTAATCAGGAAGTCTGAGAGCAGTCCAGTGTCCTTTGAAGGAGGCAGCAAAAGCCTATTCAATTTTGAAACCAGCTAATACTGAGACTTCTACAAAAAGAAGAACAGGAGGACTTGTGGCACCTTAGAGACTAACAAATTTATTAGAGCATAAGCTTTCGTGGACTATAGCCCACTTCTTCGGATGCATATAGAATGGAACATATATTGAGGAGATATATATACACACATACAGAGAGCATAAACAGGTGGGAGTTGTCTTACCACCTCTGAGAGGCCAATTAATTAAGAGAAAAAAACTTTTGAAGTGATAATCAAGATTATCACTTCAAAAGTTTTTTTCTCT